GTAATATTACATTACAGATTAAAGAAAAAATCAAACATTTAAAGTAACATTCAAGAAAAATGCGGGCAGCAACAAAAAAAACATTCCACGATGTGACAAGTTAGCTGACAACAGATAAGCAGACAGATAATCGGCCGAAAATTTTATACGAAACAAAATTTCCCGTTTAAAAAACACTGACCCTGGTCAGATTCGAACGCAGGACCTTTGCCATCCAAGGCATATTCGCTACCTCCAGGCCAAGTTGCTGGTAACTCATAGAAGTTTACACAAGTGATTCATGTAATTTTGTTAAACAATTTGTTAACCCAAAAAAACGTCGATATTCCAGTTTGATAATACTTGCTAATGGCAAGCGTAAATACGGCTCATGTAGCATAATAATTAACAAAAACCACCAAAAAAAGCACTTTTAACTGCCATTTAAGTTGAAAAAAGTTCCATTGTACTATCACAGTACGCTACGCATGTGTAATCAAGCGGTAACTAAGAAGACAAAACTTGGTTAGACGAAAACTGGGGGAACGTTATAGAAAATTTTCAAATATGAAAGATTTGAAATCCAATTCTTCATGATTCTCCGAAACATAAACGCAAAAACACTAATTTTTTCTCACTTCAAAAGACGTAATATGATAAACACAAACAACAGACAGATGGAAAAGAATCAATGACCACAAGGAGGCCGAAAAAAATATGTCCTCACTGCTCCTTGAATTTCAAGCATAATTTATGATAAAATAATGAAAAATTACGCAAATCAAACAAACTGGATTAATACAAACACAATAATCTGTAGAGAAATCTGAAAATTAATATCCACTTTCGAAATTGGAAGGTGATCACGTTTTTCGTGACTTTTCTAGTTTTGCTGTTCGAATGAGGGATTTGCCTTCGTTTTATCAAAGAAAAATGAGTTGACAATCAAAAAGAATAAAAAAACCGCAAAAAAATCAAATTTGAGCGTAAACAAAATTTAGAAATTTTCTTGTTACAAAAAAAATACAACAAAAACCATTCAAGACATATATAAGAGTCTTCACTGCGTTGATCGACTCTTCAAAACCACTTGAGATAAAAATGAGCAGATACTGTTTGAGACGAAGAAGTCTATAACACAAAAAAACAAAAGGCTATACGAAAGCATAGTTCTTAAATTTACAAATTATATGACAAAACCGACGAAATGAATCCGAAATGAAGTTTTAAAAAACGATACTTCGACGATAGGCAACCAGGCAACCACAAAAACTTTGTATGCAATAAATTAGAAAAAGTAAAGCCAAACAAACATTGCATGAATTATATATTTCAAAAACTTCGCAAAACATACTGGGTTGGGAACTTTCTGAACCTTTCTGTACTTTTCTAGAAAGGAAATAGCTTCTTTCGCTTCGGTTGATGGAATAAATATGTATCAATTGTGTTCAATAGAAACCATTGTCAAAGCACAGAAAAATCTATTGCCAATACAGGGTACGGATTCACAAAACTAACCAGAACCGTCACTTTCAAAAGAGTCGCCAGGAAGTAGAACTTTAATTTGTGACTGGGTAGAAAAAAGTTGTATCGTACTATCAATCACACTACCAGGTTGCAGCACCCTTGTACATCGCGAGGGCAAAGAAACTTCAAATGCATTATCATTACGTGAAGCATTTTCGGAAATCGACGTTTTTGCATCTTTTTTTCCGTTTTAATTAAATGTAAATAGACATTTCAAAATGTATTGAAGTCATACAGTTATTGTTATGTACCTTCAACGTACAGGGATTTAAAAGAAAAGATATTAAATTGTTTTATTTTTGGAATATTACGGCTGAGCGGTCACAATTTTTTGGATGCGTATTTAACATCAAAATGGGCTCTGATGAAATCAATGATTTATTTTGAAATTCCAAAAAAAAATAGATCAACCGATTTTTAAAGCTGTAAGTTGGTAAACCACAGGCCGTTTTTCAAAGTGAAGGCTAGGAGTTATTAAAAAGAACGCATTAACTAATTCTTTGCAGGCCAAACAGAGAATGCTAGGCCTGAATTATTACTTACAAAAGATTATTAAATAACTTCCGAACATTTTCACTGTGGGTAAAATCATAAACAGAAAAGTTTCAAAACAATAGCAGCAGCACTGGTGCGCAACAGTGCTGTCTGTTGTAGATTTGAGAGCTGGAACGAAGGGACAAGTATGTAGAACCCCAAGCGCACATTGTCAAGGATTGAGGCTAAAGGATCAGTGAAAGTGGAGACCAGGGACTGCCACGATGATGTGAGGAACTACACTTTGCCTAATAACCCTCAACAGAATGGTGTATCAGAGCGCTTAAAGAGAATGATCACCGTGATGACTCGGTGTCCGCAGCCCGACACAAATCTAACGAAGATGTTCTGGGTGTGAGTAATGTCGACATATATGAGGGTTCGCAAATTGTGTCCCACATCCAGTAAGTAGAAGCGCCTTTCACCGACAGGGATACCCTATGGGAACCTATCAAAATATAGCTATTTGCGTGTTTTCGGTTGCCTGGCGTACTAACTGGCTCGAGGCAAGAGACGGAAACTGGATCCAAAGGGCAAGAAAAGCAAGTTAATCGGTTTCGAGGAGAGCAAAGCGTATTTCCCGATGGATCTAGAAAGAAGACGAGTGGTGATAGCGAGAAGCGTGACTATCTATGAGAACATCATTCCAGACAACTTCATGGTTGACAGTTAGCCATTCTGGCGCTATCAATCGAGGGATGCATTGATATTGAGCAACCAAGCACGACAACCAACGAAGCAACAAGCGCACCAACTGATGATGATACTGCACATTCAGTGCGGACTGCTGGTGAAGATCGTTTCGAGGAGGAAACAGTAGACTCAAATTCGACTGAGCACCCATTGCAGAGGTCCATTAGGACAAGGAACCCAATTTTTCGATAGAGACTGACCTATACCCATGCTTCAGCGATTGTAATCCAAGCAGAGGCTGACAAACGAGCAGTGACTGGCAGCCATGGCTCTAGAGGTGAAGTCTCTAGAAGCCATGAGAATGTGGACACTTGTCCATGGGTTCATGTTGTGACGAGAGACGCGATGGGACAAATGGAGCGGTTGAAAGCTCAAAATGCAGTGAAACGGTCCATGCAAAAGGAAGGAATTGGCTTAACTGAGATGTTTGCTCCAACCTGTGCACCCGAAACAACAAAGATATTAAAAATCGGGGCACAAAGTGATCTTGTACTTCATCAGATGGATGTTAAGTCAAGCTTCTTCAACTCTCTTCTACCAGAAACACTGTAGATGGAGAAGCTAGAGGGATTCAGCAGCGTGACAGACAAGTAGGCTTGCTTAAATGATATGCTGCGACATCTCTATAGTCTCTATAGGTTGCGGCAGGACGTAAAGTAACAGACGCTGATCACTTTCGTACTTAATTAGGACTCAGTAGAAGCAGCAAACGACTTCTGTTCACGATGAGGGGGTTAAATGATGCAAAGATTTATGTGGTTGTTTGGGTAGATTCAACCTTGGATGCAGAGGTCAGGATGGAGTTGTCAAGACGGGGGGCCGTTTCTCCGGGCAATTCAAAATGGATGGCAGAGGACCATTGTCCTGGTTCCTGGGAATGCAGGTCAAGCAGTCACCTGGGACGCTTACAGTAAATCAATCACGTTGCATCGACAACTGATTCGAGATTTGGCTTATCTGAACGCTATCCAGTGGGCACGCCAGCGGATATCAGCGCACACAATTTTTGAAGAAGGATTGCCCTCAAGCTGGGTCAGCAGAGGTGAAGTCCATGAAGGCTGAGGACTACAGAGGCATTGTTGGCTCACTATTACACCAAGCTAGACAAACAAGGCCTGATATCCTAGCTACTATGAATCAAGTCTTTCGTTTCCTGGAGAATCTAGGAAGGGTGCACTGGCTGGCTGCACAGAGGATTCTTCGTTACCTGAAGCGGAGCAAAGTTCTGGAGCTGTGCTACACCAAGGACGCCGATGGTGCATAACTCTATGGATCCGCAGATGCTGATAAGCGCTGGAAGTCTGGATGATAAAAGGTCAACTACTGGCTACAGCTTTCATTTGCAGATTGCAGGGGGAGCAATTAGTTGGGAGCACCAAGAAACAACCAACTGCAGCCACATCTACCAGTGAGGCTGAGTACAAGCAATGACAGCAGCGGTTCAAGTGGCTCTATATCTGCGATCACTTCTCAATAAATAGGCGTGGGGAATGACGGATCAACAGTCATCAAGGAGGAAAACCAGAGCTGGATCAAGATGAGTAGGAATCTTGTGATGCAAAAACGAACGAAGCACATCGATGTGAAATACCACTTTGCATTACTGAACACAGTATTGCCCAACAGCATTTAGTGGAATTAGCCTACTCGTTTGCTTTACTCGTCGAAAAAAGAATAGAAAACAAACATATTCAAACCTTTTTTCTCGATACTTATGGAACTTTGGCCTTAAAATTTTCTTATGACTTTCGAATCACGCATTCAGGGGATTTTATATGTCATATCACTCAAGGTATGGTATGTTGATGATTAACTGTGCTACAGGTACCTAATTTGCGTGGAAAAAAGCAGTAAGAATGAAAAAAAAGCTGAAGACACCCGAAGATTAAGTTTTTCCCCACTTTCAGCGGTTGAAACAATAAATCGTACATCGATTTTTTTTCAATTATGCAAGCATTAGCTGTAAACTATTCGGAATATTAGTAAAGAAAGCTTATAATAACACTGAGCTTAAGCGGCAAAACATATCTTTAGGCACCCAGTCATAAACATAGATCGAAACTGTGGTAAGAGTTACACGCTATAAAAAAATGGAAAATCTTAGACCAGTCTTAAGTTTTTGACAGGAAAATTATTCGATTATTAGAAACATACCCGAACATTTGTTTTGACTAGAGCAGCCTTAATTTGCATTCTAAGTTCAAGTATGGTTTTCAGCCTGCATCTTATGTTTTTTGTATGGTTGTAATTTTGATTTTATAACTGACCGTGTCTACATGTAGAAGGTATGCGTGTCTGCCACTGTAGATGGACTTGATCAGTCTCTCCACCTGTCGCTCCCCCCGCCCACTCAGCTGCAGTAGAAACACTATGAACACACCCCCCGCCCCTGCCCCTCCCCCTGTCTCCATCGGGGGTCTGTTGTCCATCAGACCATTCACATGTTGCCCAGGAAGCTTCAGAGGCTCTACAACACATTACACACAAATATAGTCAGTCAGGAAATTATTGTGGAGGAAATGATTGATAAGACAACAAGTGGGAAAAACTTATTGGGCTCTTCTACTGTGGGAGGAGAAAATGTCTTTGTAAGTACATTCACATGCCTATATTCTATTACAATTGGACTACGTGGAAATAGTTTGAAACACAAATAAGACATGTGGCGAAACGGTAAATGCGCATCTGAAAACCTGAAAAAAAGCCAGCTGACAGTTGGAAAGGAGTAATGAACGCAAATAACCAGAAAAAAAAACATTGACTTGAAAAAATCTCGACTTTCGATTTTCAAAGAAAAAATAGATGCCCTTTAAGCTCTTTCAATTTCTAGAACGATTTATGATTGGCACTTCTTCGATAACATTAACCCAACTTGAGAAAACTGCATCAATAGGTAAAGTTTTTATTCCCCTGGAAATTTAAAAAATAAATTTCACATTCGAAACTAGAAATCGTTCACATTTTTTCGCGCCACTTCCACGTTTGTGTTTGGAGTGTTTTCAAAAGATAAAATTCAATTGAACTCAAAAAGTGCGTATATACCTAAAGTGCGTATCACCAAGACCTATATAAGTCTTTTCGACGTTCATTACTCTTAATTTCAAAAGATGATTGTAAAGAAACGCCATAGCCAACAGAAAAAAGGAAAAACGCCATGAAACCCCAGGAAACCAAAAAAATTCCTCGCTTTCGATAACAAAACAAAACAGGAATGCTCGTAGAAGGATGAAGCCCTGAATATTTCAACTGCCTTTTAAAGTCTATGAAGCAGTGTTCCCTTTCTAAAAATTGATAAATTTGTCCGAACAAAAAAAAATCACCCAACACGCCATATTGAGTACAAAATAATGGATTTCGCTCGTGGTTACTTCATTTCCCAAAAGCAAGGCTCCTGGACGGACTCGAATTGCAGTTTTTTGTCACCCCTAGCTTGCTTGTGCGTGCGTCATTGTGCGCTTGCGTTCGTGTATGCGTGTGTGTGTGTGTGTGTGTGTGTGTGTGTGTGTGTGTGTGTGTGTGTGTGTGTGTAAATGTGTACGGGTATATATGTATATGTATGTGCGTGTGTCTGTGTGGTGCGTGTGTGCGCAAGCAGACGAAAGAAATGGGAAGATAGCTAAGTCATGGTTTTATAGCACCTAGCACACTTTTCGGCAAAAAAACTAGGCGTTTTCTGAAAACTTCCGACTCTCAGATTGATTTATCACAGTGTATTATTTCCATCTCTACCAGTCGAAGCTATAAGCAGACTGAACTATGCTTTGAACTCCATATTAATTTGAACTCCTCTAAGTCGCCAGAAACGCAAACATATATAATAAGACTATGTCTTTCGTCTTCTCGCCTCGCAGCGTGAGTGAGAAGTTTGAGTGGGTGGGTGTGGTGTATTGATGAGTATAGACTGACCAGTTCTTTCCCGTTCATCGAAGTGGCAGTAGTTGGGGAGTGGCTTGAGGAGAGGTGCTGGATACAACTGTGCTTTGGTCAGACTGCATCCTACCACTGCTATCTCTGCCTTGCACTGGTGTGTCTTGGCCCGATCCAGGGCACTGTGGAATGCACTTGGCCCATGTCCCCTCTTGATTCCACAGTCTTCCAGGTACTCTTCCTCCCTCCCCTCTTTGATCTCTAAACACACACACACATCCACACACATACATACACACACACACACATTTATATATTTAATATTTTGTTTCATTCGATCTCCAATCATTTTTTACAATTCCTCATTTTCATGGAAACGTTATACTTAGAATATAAGCAAACCAAAAGTCTTTCATTTGCTCCCGTTTCTGTAAATTATGAGCACAATCAAATTTGATGAGCGAAAACAAGCTTTTGTCTAAAAATGTGAAAAAAAGGACGAAAAATTAAGAAAGTAATTTCGTTCATACGTTTCAGAATAATTTCAAACTAAGTAATGATGATTTGATAGATGTGTATTTCAAAACACATATCTGTTTTCATATGAACCAGTGCCAAATTATTACCTGCATATCCTTACAGGTTTTCAATTCTAGACTGAGTTAGGACCCTCCATTTTCTTCTATTCTTTGAGGAATCCTATCTTTTCAGATTTCTTCAATTTTTAATTTCAAAATGCTTTCTAATCTTGATGATATAATTCTATTAACTTTTGTCTTTTAATTATCACTTATTCAGAAACATATAGCCCGACTCTGTACGTGTCTAAATTTGGTATTTTTAGTACTAAAGTTATTTTCAAAAAGTTAATTAAATTTAAAATTAAGCCGGGTAGACTCTCGGAAGCTACTCAATGTGCCTTTTGTCTATCTACTCCAGATTATCCAATTTGATGATTTTCTGTATTGCATCTAAATTTACAACCACAGCCGCAAATTCTTTCTTTCTCTATGTAACACAAATACTTAACACTGCATGTTGACTATGTTACCGGATGTGATACTTGTGCACTACTTACTCATGGCCTGGTCGATGAACTTGCCAAAGAACTTGGTCATCTCCGGGTTCTCCAGCTGTCTCACACTTTCTGGTTCTGCACTCTTGGGGGGCAAAGGTTCCCTCTTCCTCGAAGCCCCCCTCTTCAGGTCCCGGATGCCCCCGGCCAACAAGGGGTTACTCCTACGCATCTCTTTCAACTGCAACACACACAAGTTCCATTCAAAAGTCTAATTTTTCATTCAACTGAGATCATCAAAACCGACAACAGTCAAGGTCACAGACAAACAGACGATTCAAAACAGCTTGTTTTGTGTTCATTATTATAATTGTAATATCTATTTTCGCATTAGAGATTTTCATTTGGTTGAGATATTTTGTGCTGTTTCTAAGCAACCATTTAACTAAACTATGGTTTTCCTACAAACGCTCACCTCTTAAACTGTAGCACAGGTGCATGTGCATGCAATTTGAACGTGCAATCATGTTTGCTGAGCACCATCAATACCGATGCACGGCCAATCGGCAACAGTATACATGGAACGAAGAATAGAACAAGAGAGAAGCTTTTGACGTGCTTTGCGGTTCACTGACCTTGTCTCCGAACTCAACCGAGGTGCCATTGACGAGACTGTTAGGGGAGTGCTCAAGTGCAGCCAAGTGAAGCCTCTGTTTGGTCCTCTCAGCCGCAGTCTCCAACTCCTTCTTCTCCCGCATGTCCATCTCCCTCTTAGTGTGGAAGTCCAGCTGTCCCCTCTGTCTCGCCCCCACTTGACCCCCTTCACCTTTACCCAATTGACCCCCTAGTGCGTGTGGGAAGTCATCCGAGTAGTCAGAGTCCCACTGCAGATTGAGTTCAGTCATAAAACGCCTGCTTAGAGATACAATACAGTACAAATGAATCACATCTGCATCACAACTCATCTTAAAGCAAAGAAACAGGCTTGTTTTCGACAAACGACCATCACTATCACTCCTCTAACACGCACACATACATCTTCACAAAAATTGAGTACTGGTAAAAAAACTCAAGAGCAAAAACTGGCACTTACAACAATATTAATAAAATCGAAAAACTAGTAGAGAAAAACGCAACGGCGGAAAAATATTTCAACAGTAACTTGCAAATCTCAAAAACACAAAAAAAACCAAAGCTCCTTTGCGAAACTTCAAACATAGCCAACAAACAATTTTGGAAAAGTGTCTAAAGAACGCAGAGAAACGGAAATGGAAAGAATTTTTTTTTGAAAAATTTCAAGTTTCTATTTCATCAAAAAAATATGGCCTTGAATCAGTTTGATCCTCAAAAACACTTTTATTTGACATTTTTGTGGCGAAAAATAACCCAAACTGGCTGCGGGTTGCAAGAGGCCGGGACACACCACATGGAGTGAACATAATTTTCTCACTCCGCTGGGAAATTTTAAAACTAAATTCCACGTTCTTTGCGTCATCTCCACTTCCATATACTCCCGACGATTCGAAAAATGGGAAGGAACTTTATTTTCGGGTGTATTTAACCTTTTTTTGTTTTCCACGAAAAATCAGCTGCCACAAATAGTCATCGGATAAATTTGAGTGATATATCATATTAAAGCCATTTCAGTCGTGATTTAAGAAAAACCTGTTTGTTTTTTTTTCGTTTTAATTCGAGCAAATAAAGCCAGCGAGCACGCTAACAATAGCTTATTTTAATGGCTTCAAACCTCACAATAACCTTATTTTGGCAAATCGAGTAAAGTTTGTTTTTTGAGTATTTTAGCGTCTTTATGGAATCATCAACTTCAAAAATTGGAAAAACTGCAAAAATATTATGATGTTTTTTAATTTGTGATTTCTAGTCAGTTTTCTACAAACATTGTTCTCCATTTTGCTTATTTAACAATGACTTTTGAAAATTTCTAAGCTCTAGTTTTTTCTTCAGACCCTTTATCACACCAGGCAGAAAAAACGAAAATTGTTTCAAAAAAACTTTTTTTTATGTTTTTGAAGACTGTGGTCGGAAAACTCTGTGCTACTTGCATGCACAGTATCCGGCTATCCTTGTTACCAAATGGATTTGAATGAAGGAATTGTGAAGTCAAACCGCCAAAAAACCAAAAAAAAAAAACAAATTTGACGTAGTAAAATTCTAAATTTTGCATGCGGTCATAGAATCTGAAACGGCTGTTTATTTTACCGCATTCCGTTGTTTTCAAGCATAAGATGACTTCTGGCCATTTTTGTAAGCCCTAATAGAGGAACATCCGGCATCACAAATTTAAAAAAGACAGTCAAAACGTAAGCATTTTTAATTGAAACTTTTATGCTTTTGCCCTATTTTGTGGGACTTGAAATTGAACCAATTGAACTTTTTGTTGGCCTTTGAGTTCTCGCGTATTGTGACTGAAACCACTCAAAAATTATAACTAGGTATGCAAACTAGGTCAATTTCAATATCGAATTAATCTGAAAAACAGACAATTCTGCTGCACGAATTTAGCCTTAAAATAATCCAAGGCCCAGAACACCGTTAATCTTGTGCGACTAGATTGTTCAAACCCCCCTTCCCCAACAAGAGTAAGTCCTTTTGAAGGGTCAGTGGATATGAACTGATGTGTGTATGTGTATGTGTGTGTGTGGGTGTTTACCTTGGGTGTGCTCGATTGTGATTGTGATTGGGGGGATGTGTAGATATGTACAAGTGTGATATGAAGAGAAGGGTGGCCACAGAGAGGATGAGAAGGAGGGCGAGTCGGAGGGGGGAGGAGAGGAAACGGGGGGGAAGCAGTCCCATTGTCCCCACTCTCACCCGCAATCTCCTCAGTCGCAGGGGGCAGCCCATGCTCACAGAGGAAGCAACAGTTGCAAAAGAAGAAGAAGAAGATGGAATAGAAAGAAGAATGACAAGTTGAGCTCAGAAGGACAGATGAGGAGAGCACCGATGCACTTCTGTTCCGACAGAAGTATAAGAGCAAATTAAACGATTTGGCAATATAACGTGACACAAATTGAGGAGAGCATTGCAATACTTGTTGTGAACAAATAACAAAATTATAGAGATAACATTCCGATGCTGTCTTTCACCATTGGACAGACTGCTCCGATAGCAGGACTTGATTGTGGATAGAGTATGTGCAAAACGATTAATTATAACGATGAAAACAAGAGAGGGTAAACGAACAGAATGACTACAAATAATAACAACTGCAGGATGAGAGATCAGGTAATCTAGGGCAGGGTAAGTATAAAATGTGCAGTAATAAAATGGGAAGGGAGGGTGGGGGTGGTAATAGGAGTAGGAATAGGGGATGAGGAAGAGCTAAGTAGCACCAGAGGGACAAGTCACTAAACCATAACCACCTGAAACACAACAAAACAACACAATTCACAACTGATCTCAAGTCACTCAACATTAATGAACAAATGCACAGGCAGACAGGCTACAATCATTGTCAATTTATTGAATAACTAACTTAATCTTCGAAGAAACTGAATAAAAAAATCTTAATCTGAATACAAATCATTGATTGAAAGAAATGAGACTCAATTAAGAATATCAAGACGCGGCGTTTGAACTTAAATCATTTTTGCTACAAATGACAGATTTTTTCAGCATTTTGTTCGACGTTTTGTGTAAACAAAACAAAAGTAAGTACAGTACCATCTTCCTTTTTTTCCAGTGATGCGACTTATTTAATTCAAGTTTCTAAATCCTGTTTAAGGCACATTAATAAGTTTGATTCCATTTATTTTCAATCGGTGCTTATTTGTAGTTAGCGAGATGGACATTTGCTGCTCGTTGTATGTAGTCAAGGAGTTTCATAAGAGACAAAACTAATAAGACCGAGAACTGAACAAGACCGAAAAAAAAACAAATCGATGTGTTCGAATCATCTTTAATCATGCACACCACTCACACAGTTAAAAAAAACTCGAGTAAAAAAAGTTAACTTCAAGTAAATAACAAAACTCAAATTCAAACAAAGATCAAAAATCTAGCAAAACAAAATATCGAGAGAGCGAATCTGACCATTTGATTCGCAAAGAAAATAAAAGCAAACATGTAGAAGTGCATGAAGGCTATGTTGAATACAAACAGGTCGAGACTTGCAATCCAACATGTTTGAGCCAAAACTCAGAGATGATTGCAGTACAAACCAAAGTTACTGAAAATAGCATAGCTAGTTTTAATACCACAGGAGTCTGTTTTAACTGAATGATTGTCGCGTGAAGCTGCCAAAAAAACGATAAACACAAAATACTATCTTGAAACTCGAACACAAAACACTTGACAACATATTTCAGCTGAAACAGTTAAAAACAGAATCTTCAATCCACCTATACAGTTATTTGTTATTTTTGAAGCTATTTTCTCTTCAAGAAACACGTAAATTTGTTAGTGCTGCTAGACGAAATACAGCAACACAAAAAAGGAAATGTAAAAAACGCAAATTGATAATTTCATTTTGAAAAATCTGCGGTGAAAATAAAATTAACAATTAATGACCATTTATTCATAAAACAAACAGAGTAGAAAATGGTTTCTCAATTTGCATCATCCAAAAATCATTCCAGAGTTCAATGGCTTCACTTTGTGCGAATTAAACAAGCTAGAAAAGATCAATCGCACATGTTAACAATAAAACATTATACAGCGCTGATTTAAATTATCTGGACAAAACGCCTAAGACTTGTAACTCAAAACGCATTTTTTCTGAAATTGGGTTGATTTCAGGTCAAAAACGATGAAAACACTTTCTGCTTAGATACTCAACAGAAATCAGATTATTGGAACCTGATCTAAACTACATTTTATGATTGGATAATTTAGATATTTTACCAATGTAAAGTATTTAATATTAACCAATCATGATCCATCTAACTAACAACCCACTTATTTGTAAGTGCTGAAGTTACTTGTAAATTCAGCACCAGAGAGATTTGAATTTAACTTAGAAATTAGTTGGACTCTCCCGAGCACTTCAGCAGCCGCAATAAACCAGTATACCCTAGATCTATTGAGCCTAGCAGAGACTAGTTAAACAACCTGAGACTAGATAGTATAAGAGTAAGATTAGGATCGGTATTAGACAAAGAAGTTGCACGAATCTATCCGGCCGAAAATAAGATAGCGTGACGAGCAGACGGTGTACCCTATCCGAAATTACTCTATGAGTTAACCAACTCGGTCCTAACTCATCTGGTGCGACCATAAGTCTCGAACAAGACCTTAATAGCTTAGAATTAACCAAAATAGATTAGAAATTAGACAAAAACATTTACAAAATGTTATACGACAATAATTTAATCGAAATGTCTCTACGACTCAATAGATCAGAGCCAATATTCCGAACCATAACAGAACTACCCGGAATTGGAAGAAGACCTCGAACCAGAGACGACATACGACAAAGTAGAAATTTGCCATATAGCTATATGATAGTTAAGCAAAAACCAGAACAAACTTTTATATTTAGAATACTACTGGCAATGAATTTAGATTTTCATTTGCAAACATAAAACCTTGAAGCTAATCTTCAAAATCATTTCAGGCGCTAAACAAAATTATTAATATACAATAACGATTGATAAAAAGATCTAAGATCGTTTTCCTAAAACTCTGCAGTAATATACAAAACATGTTTGAAAAATATTTATTGAAAAATAAAAATAAAAATTAGTAGCATGACAATAAATGGTTAGTAATCATAAATCATCCTGTTGTTCCAGCTCCATCACCTAAAACATAACAGCAATCATAAACCCACTAATATCATCAAAACACTAAATCTTTCCTTTACACACATTTAAAATTTTATTAAAACTTAAATTCACTTAATTTTAAAACCAGATCATCAAGGCTTATCCTTGGATCTTAAATCATTTTCTACTTAATTAAATTTCAAATTTGATCATCAAGGCTTATCCTTGGATCAAACAGAACAACTTTGTTCTCCCCCACCCACTTAATTAGTGTCTAACGACCTCAAACGTCGATTCACTACCCAACCCTTTCTAAAGACCTAAGACTAATAGAAATTTTTAAACAAAACTAATCATTCAAATTAGGATAAACAGTGAAGAACTTCGGTTATTCATCCTTCACTTGACCCCCCCTCTTACCAGACCCAGGATAAATCTTAGACTTAGTAAGTTTAAAATAGTATCTAACGAACTACTCGCGTTCTAATTATACCTGAACCTTGTGGATCGATTTACTATTCTCCAACCCTTGAACACAATCACTACCCCTAAGTAAGATTAAGTAAGTTAACACCTTAACTTATACTAGCCACGAGAAAGTAAAAAATCATTCTTCGGAATCGATATACTTTTCTCTCCAACCCTGAACAAACAGACCCAGGTTAAGCTAACCAAAAAATCGTAAGAACTAACAGTTTAAGAAAATAGAAACCATTTAACAACCTTTTGCATCCGTCATCCTAAACCTTATGTCATTTAAAAACCTAGGAAATAAACAAACAATCGTTTTACACAATTGTGAAATAGATAACAAAAAATACGACCTTGTAATCACACCTCATACACAAACAGTAGGATACATTCGAACAAAACGACAAACACTAAAAAGAAAAATAATAACGAAACAAAGACAAATAACACGAAAAAGATTTTCAAAAAATCGAAACGCATTTTCAGAATCAGAAACCAACAGTTTAGACGAACTTTACAAACTAAAAGAATCAATAGATAAAAATTACCCACTTCACGATCAATTATATTTTTCTGACTCAGAAACAACTTCAAATTCATCAAAAAGAGGAAAAAGAAGAATAAAAAAGCAGTATAAACACAAACCAGTACATTTATACAATTGGAATCAACCAATTCGACACATTAATAATTACATATTAACAGTCATCGAACGAAAAAATGAGCTCAACGCACACTCCAGGTGAAGAAAGTCCAGATGATGATGAAATCTTTCCTTTTATAGTAGATGCAACCACTGATAGAGGACAGCATATATTTTGCAAAAATTTACTATTAAATTTATTTGAACCCGGAATTAGTCCATGTAAAACAGAGTTCCCAGATGTAAAAATCAAAAGACAAATCATAGACCACTACTTAAAAGATATATGCAACATAACACAACAGTATGGAATCTACTCCATAGAATTCACCTCACCAAACCATAATAATAGAAAATATACAATTCAAACAGACGATCTTGATTTAGAATTTTCAAAAGTTTTTTCAGAATATATAAAAAGCATCCAATATCAAAACTCACAAAGAGCAAACTCCATATTCACCAATGAAGTTTTCGCAATAATATATAGTTATATTTCGATATTAGAAAACGAAATCCCAATAACAAATGTCTCACCGACAGAAACATCCAAACATTTGAAAGTACGACATGAAATCACACTACTCTCTAGTTATTTAAACATCATTAAAGAAAATTTCACGAAAGACGACGTTTCACAACATACAAAACACGATCTACAAAAAATTTTGGCATGGTTCATAATAGATTATTTCACACACAATATTGATTTAATTGCACAAGCAAGAAAAAATTTTAGACCCCAAAACTCGAACGATGATACCGCTATCACAGAACAATCAGATTATGTTTGGGACCCCGAATGGTCTCATCCCGCATTTATAAGCTTCCCACAATCAATCTCAAGTCAAGCAATAAGTACGATATCTTACATAAGAGATTATGTAAAAGTAATACCATTAACCATTGATGCAACACCATTAAACTATAATACATTTTTGCCCGATACACAAAATAATAGTTTAAACTCTACAGTTATACACAATGAAAACCTCAATGGAACTAGGAATCTTACTCAACAAGATATCCAGACACCATCACACTTCATAAATGAAGAAATTGTACACACAACAACTACACAACAAAGTATTTCACCAATACGCCCAAATTTAACAACACCAAGAAATACAAATCCTTCACAAACACAGGTAACCTTACAATCAACCGTTAAACCTTCGGTTGCTCCTAAATATTCACATATGGATTACCAAACATACAGACCCATGACAATACCATCAAAAACACGCAAAACATTCACTAGAAACAACTTTACAGACCATAATTATAATTATACACATCCATCAAAAACATATAATCAACCACAAAGAAATTTTAACCAATATACAAGATCTCGAAATTGGGATAACCCAATGACCCAACCTAATTCAATAAATTTCCAAACAAATCCTCCACAGGATCACAGTGAAAATTACCCATTTTTTCAACAAAATAAAAATAAAAAACAGACATCTTATCAAATGGATTATTTATCCTCAGATGATGATTTCTTACAACCAGATATATTTGCACAAAATACTCAAGAATATCGTAGACAAGGAATACAGAGAACACGTACAAATCA